TCGGTTCACTAGTTACCGAGAAAATCTTGGCACAGACAGAAGAATGGCTAAAATAGTGTTTTTCGGGCTCAGTGAGAAAAGTATTGCGATCGGGTCAAATTTTCGATATGCATTTATCGACGGATCTATACGTTTCAGAGCCCCCCTAGAAAAACAAGATTTTCTCGGTAACTAGTGAACCGATTCTGTTGCTTCTTTTTTTATTTTGTTGGGTTTTGACTACTGATGCGTGTGACAAATTGGGTGCTCCATGCGCAATAGCTACTACGCAATAAATGAAAAACATGTTTCCCAATAGACTGTGGAGCGAAAACTGCTCTAACGATTTTGATGAAACTTTCCTATAATGTTCTAATAATTGTCCTTTTAATTTTTGTACATGGACTAAATTCCCGAAAAAAACAGGAAAGAAGTAACAAAGAAAAGAATAATGTTTTGGGGCCTAACTGGCTAAGTATATATTCTATGGTAAAATTTATAATAAAACTTTTGAAAGATAATTAAATTACCGAAAAAAAAAATCATCAGAATCGAACCAGTTTTAACGATGATACAGCTTATTCTATTTTCTACATGTTTTAATTTATTACTTTCCTACCTATACTGGGTAAGCAAAGTATTGTAATCGAGTCAAATTTCCGATATGAGGTTTTCGACGGAACTATACGCTTCAGAGTCCCCCATTACGTTATGAAATTCCCCACAAAACTATATAAAAATCGTTCATTTCGGGCAACTATTAACGAAGTTACAGCTATTCAATTTCCAATGTAAGATTACGGGTTCATATCCTTGTGTCAGAAAGGATGAATGAGAGAAGAAAGATAACTAAGTGAAAGTAAGAAAATCTGTTGCCCGCATCACACAAGCTTCACTATTTCCTCTACTTTTAACAGAAATTAATGTTTGACAAAATTAGGCTATGCCAAAAAGTTTTCGATCTGCAATATTAGAGAGTATTGAAATATTTACACTGATCTACCTTAAGTCGGTTTACACTGCTGTAGTTTATCAAATAAATCGTACTCAAATCTATTCTTTGATCAATTTTCAGGAAAATAAATCTAATTCAATTTTTTTTGTTTCTTGATGGACATATGTAAATATATAAAAACCTCTGAAATAGGTAGGAAAGTCGTGTGAGTGGACACACCAGATTTTTTCACTCGAGTTCCTATACCTTAGGCAGTTGATAAAGTAATACTGTAAATTGATTCTATTGTGTGAAGCAATATAATTACAATAAGTAATTCTCATTCTTAAAAAAAGTTAATGACTCAACATTCTGAATCTTCCAACGAAGCTTTTTTTTAAAAATCTCAAAAATGTGAAAAAAAATCTGATTGGGGATGAATAATACTTAGTCAAAAATTGATAACTTGTAGCAGTTTCGTTGTTATTTTATATTTATTATCTACTTTTTCTTTTGTATTAATCCGAATGGATCACTTTATGTGCATACCAATTAAAAAAATTGGAAATTTGCTTAATGAAAAAACGTTAATCGATCACGAAGAAACGGATCAGAACATTAATTACATCAATTTACGATTAACGAAAATACTACCGTCAAAAGAGAATTAACGGAATAAACAAATGTTTTTACATTAATAAATCAAAGGATCGGAAAATATTGTGTTTAATTATGATTCTTCTGTAAGTATAAACGTTTTATTTTTATGATTCCTTCTCAATAGCGAAATTAATGACCCGAGATAACATCATTAAATGAAAGACTTTTCGTTTATAGAATGGAGATGGTATAAGACTTGTATTAATGTGCTTGTAAGCTTCTTAGGGAAAGCTTTCGAGAACAGCTAGGCGTTGTAAATTTCCTTCCAACTACCTACACGTTGTGCAAAGGTCATGAGAGATTGTATATGACATTAATATTTTATAATACTAATAGTTAAATTACTTACTTTTCTGCGGAAAATCGAAACATATAAACTTTCATTCATATAAACTTTGTTTTTGTTCTCGAGATCTACCATCACCCTTTTAAATGTTTACCTCTACTTACGGGATGGAAGTAAATTAAAATACTTTTTTAAACAGCTGCAGTTCCTCATTTCGGTGAATTAGAAATATTATTTTGGCAAGCTTTTTTTTCCGTTGAAACGGAATTTTATGATTGTAGCCAAACAATACCCCATTCTCTTAAGCTAAACCAATTCTTTCTAAAAAAATGATATATTTGATTGTGATAACATTTATCATAAAATAAATTAAGGGATTATAAAGAAAAAATCAGAACTCAAAAACTTGTTAATGCAATAACCTAAAAAAATAATAATAATTTTTAGTTTTTTTTCTATATAATAATTTTTTTTTGCATTATTTATCACTTATCCTATCGTCGGTTTATTACAGAAAGTCACAAAATGCATTTTTGATAAAACTAAACTTTTAAAAACTTTTTCTCAATTTCAACACAAAATGACAACAAATAACTCTTTTAGATATCAAATATGATTACAATAAGTTATCAGTGTTCTGATTTCACAAAGAAAAAAGTCATTGAAGAGGAAACGATATGGAAATGTCATATAATATATAAGTCTATAGGTTGAGACCTAGTATTGAGAGAGTGGATAGAGGAGAACAGAGTAAGGAGTTGCAGGATGTAGGGAGGGTTTTTGGTTCTGAAGACTTGGAAAAGGAAAACGCCAAGAAAGAATTGTCGTCGGGAAGTATGAAAAAGACACTTCAACTCGGTGTACCATAGTGAAACATGTGAACGCCTGGGGATCCCGAAAATGTATCTTATGAAACAATTCATGAGTCTTTTTAGTCTCATTTCCAGCCTAGCAGATAGCCCTCCATACACCAAGCAGCTATAGTCGAAGTGGGGGAATATAAGGAAGATCGTAAGGAGCTGTCTGGTTTTTAGAGGAATACAATCACGGAATCTTAGGAGTTGTTTAAGGACAGTTATGGATTTTCGGGTAATCTGGGAGATATGATTATCCCAGGAGAGGTTCTGGTCAAAGGTTACTCCTAGGTTTTTGACTGTAGGGAAAAAATGGATGGGATGGTTATTGAGGTAAAGTAGAGGAAAGTAAGGAAGGGAGCTGATGAGATGTCTGGACCCGATGATAATAGCCTTGGTTTTATCTGCATTCAGCTCTAATTCATTTATTTCTGCCCATCTGTTGATGCAGTCGATGTCCTTCGTTTTAGTTCTTAAGGATTTTCCATTTGAATTTAGGGTTAGGTTCTTGGGATAAAACGTTATTGAAGTATTGGGCTTTGGCGCGACGTAGGGTCGTTTGTGTGAGATTTCGTATGGATTTAAATGTGGAATAATGCTGAGTTAGTCTAGTACGTCTGTATCGTCTTCTAGCAGTTTCTCTTCTCCTCATTAGTTCTCTTATTTCTGTATTGATCCAAGGAGCGGGAGGGCGTCTAAAGACACGTGTTTTTAGAGGTGCGTGACGATTGAGGAAATCGAGGAGGTTGGAGGAAAGGCATTCAACCATATCATCGATGGAGAGGAGAGAATAGATGGGTTCTAAGCAAGTAGAAAGAGAATCGAGGAAGGGGCTGATGTTTTCAGTGGTTAAGGAATCTAGATCTCTCCAGGAAATTTGTTTGGTTTTAGGTGAAGGAGTAGTCTGAATCCTTTCCTTAGTTGTATGTTATTTCAATAAGATCGTGGGATGAAAGGAAGGGAACTGGAATTTGCGTAGAGGATAATAGGTTATGTGGGGAATCAATAATAAATAAATCTAGCCAAGTATCAGTGGATTGGGTGTGATGGGTGGGTTGAAAGGGTACAATAAATAGATCTAAGGAAAAAACTAGGTCAGTAAGATATGTTCTGTCCGGAGTGTTTGAAAGGAGGTTGGTGTTGAGATCACCAGCAATAATAATATTTTCGTCGAGAGGAATATATGTAAGAAGGGAGGATTCGAGAGTGGGATCGAATGGGACACGAGGAGGTCGGTAAATAATGATAAAGAGTAGAGGAAAGGTACTAAAGGAAATCTGGATAAACAGATATTCTATGTTAGGGACGTCTGAAGGAGGAGATTTTAGAAGGACTTTGGACGTCAAACTGTCATGTACGAACAATCCAGCACCTCCACCTGTTCGTTCCATTCGATCATGACGGAAGAGGGTATAGTTGGGTAAGGAAACGGATAGGGAGGGAATATCAGGTTTGAGCCAAGTTTCTGAGACGGCTATGATATGATGGAAGTTATGGTGAAAATAATCGAGGAATTCGTCATAATGTGCTAGAAGGGATTGGGAGTTAACGTGACAGGATATTAAGGTATTGGTCATGAAGAGGTCAGGGTAAGGATAATCTGCGGAGGGTGACAAAATGGTTTTAATATTGATGGAATAGGCACATTTTTAAACTTACATAATGAGATATAATAACAAATTATGTACATTATATTGATACAGATCTTACTTGAAATCTTTAAATGAAGGTAAGCATAGAAAAAATGAAAATCTGATTCGAAGTAAAATAAGAAAATTTCATCTTTCAAAAAAATACTTAATAAGCAATAGAATAAATTATTATGAACTGTAGAAACAAAAAAGACCAATAACATATTTAAAAAAGAGAAATAAAATAAAAGGTATTCATAAAAAAGAGGTTGGAAGGAACAGTGAGACCTATTTCATTCCAGCAATTCAATGTCTTCCTTTTTGTTGACGATGATGACCGGGGATCCATCCTGTCTTCTGTATCGTACCTTTCCTCCAGCGAACCATACGTATCTCAGCATACCCGACGCTCTTTTCTGCATTGCCAACCAGTATAAATGCTTATTACCTGGACTCATTTCTTCGCCCAGATAAATTCTCTCGTCGTTGTTCCGGCCCAGATGCCTCGTGGAAAATTCCCTCTTGCCTTGCGCAAGCGGATGACTTCGTCACGCACCGTCCGGCGGACGAACCGTACGACGATTTGCGGTGGCCTAGGGTCCTCTCTTCTGGTCCTTTTCCTCTCCACAAAATCCAGGTCTTCAACACCCAGCTTTATGCCCAGAGCTGCCCCTATAGAGCACACCAAGCCCTCGGTAGATTCTCCAGCATCGGGTGTGACACCTCGTATTTCCAGGGAGTTGGATAGTTGAGCTTGTTCTGTTTGGTCAAGTCTCACCTCCAGGTTGCTAATTTGAAATTTTAGCTGTTTATTCTCACTGAGTAGATTTTCTATTATTTTTTCTTGCTTCAATGCCATCTCTTCTATTTTTTAAGTCTCTCATTATTTTCAAAAGCGAGATCGCTTTGTTTTCCGAGCAAGACTTTAACTTCCTTTATATCCCCGGCGATCTTTTTAACCTCAGCCAAAATAGAGGTATTGCTCTCTTCTGACACATCCACGGTTGCTGTACCCTGTTTGCTTTGAGGTTTTGTACATACATACAATTTTTTTTTGTTGCTGCGATAAGTCGGCTTCAGAGACGTTAATACATCTTTTATGGTATATTAATTTGCACGTTGTGCAAAAAAATGTAGTTTTATCCTCTCTGGCAATGGTATTATTGCATTTAGGACATAGAGTCATCGTGAGCAGCTGATCAACTGGGTAATAATAATAGAGTAGATACCGGTAGCGGTGGTGTGGAGAGGTAGCCGTAGTGGGGTTAAGCGCCTTATCTTACGCTCGGCTATATCACAACAATTTTAAATTGTTTTCTTACCTTATATTGTTTTTAAGTATTGATGATATAGTTCAAAAGTTAATATTAATCGCCAACTCAATTTACATTAATAGCACTTTAAATATTTTAGTGACGGTGAACTGAACTGTAATAGCACAGCTTGAAATTAAACACGAACACTGATGCTATCTATTTGAAGGCTAGGGCCAGACTGATATATGCTCGATCCATTATATGCTCGAGAACTGGAACTTGAATCGTACATTTCTAATATTATTTTGAGAATGTGTTTATTGTAACTTTTCTTTCATAATAAAAAAAAAAAAAAGTAATGCATCATGACTAATATTAAAATTGGTACTAAAAAGCCATCTAATAATACATATTGAATATTTTAAAAGGAACTATTTTTTAAAAATTATATTCAAAATTGGTTAAAATTTTATATATTTTTTGTAGGCTCCTGGGACACATTGGCACGAATCCTCGGGCGTGTCTAATATTTTTCGATCTAGTATCACTAAAAAACGATTCTTTTAAATCGGTGACGACACGTCCGTAACCTCCACTTGTAAGTCATGGGTGCTCATTTCCGGTAAGCAATTAACAATGATACATTGATAACTCTCGATCTCAACAACAGTAAATCCCAGCGCAACTCACCATGCTAAGGAAAGTAAAAGAATTATTATAAAGAACAAATATCAACATAGAGTTGGATAAGAAGAAAATATTTTAACTACAACGCTTGAAACTTGAGCAAACAAATCGACAGATGTCAAGAAGCGCTACCACAAAGTAAGAAAACAATATAACAACAAGTGAGTTAATAATGTATAAAACATTATAAAAAATAAGAACAGATACTTCATAATAGTCAGTTTTTTATGAGATTATTATCACCCGTTTAAAATTTTGAAAATGGCTTCATCTTATCGTAGCCTACTACTTTTTCATTTACGAAAATTCTTGATAATTCAATAATATTCAATATTCAATCTGAAGATGAATGAAATGAAATGAAAATATTTTTATTATCCTGGGAGTGTTGTCCCTTTAGAACAAAGTACAAATACTGAGAAAATACCTGTGTGAGCATACAATAAATTAAATATTTACAAAATAATATCTAATTAAAAATAATATTATAGGAAGAGAAAAGAACAAAACAAAAACATTCATATATATATATATATATATATATATATATATATATATATATATATATATATATATATATATATATATATATGAACAATCAGTTTTCTCAATTAAATATCTCCCTTTTAAACAACCCGACTGATCACGAAAAGTTGATAAGAGAACTCCAGAAACCATGTTGTTGTCTTATGTTATTTTCTTTTCGTTTGTTTATTCTCTCTCTCTCTCTCTCTCTATATATATATATATATATATATATATATATATATATATATATTTTTTTTTTATTTTTATTTTTTTTTTTTTATATGAAAATTAATACATTCTGCCGCATAGGAGAGCATTAATATTAGGGCCACATTAAACATTCACACAATATATACATACAAATGATAACTAAACTAAATTTAAAACACATAAGTAAAAAAAAAAAAAAAATTAGAGGGAAATTAAATGAAATTAAAATGTATAAAACACATTCACACCTATATACAGTTTCAAGTTAAATAAGTAAGATTTAAATGTTCCAAATAGTCCTCAAAAGCAATTGTTTATGCTAATAGGAGCAAATCATTCCGGGAATACTTACGGGAAAGCCCCAAGAGGATAAATAGTTTAATAGTATCCATGCCATCGATATCTAATTAGTGTTACTAATGTACTAGTTGGCCTCTGCTAATTCACATGGTCAGAGAACAAACGCTATTATAATATGAAAAAAATATAATTGCAATATAAATATTATGAGAAGGTTAAACGAAAACATTCGAACGAATTCCAATAGGCTGTATCTTTTCTAATAAAGATCGAATTTCGATGATACATAAATTTTTTTTTTTACTATTCTGAGAATTTTTAGGAAATTTAGAAACCTTCAAAATTCAGGAGACAATTCATCATAAATAGTATGAGTTATGAGCAAATAAGAAATTCTTTTGTGCATAACTGTTTTCCTCACTTTTCAAGGGATGTGTTTATTTCTTAGCAATAAAGAAGAAGATATTCAACAAAATTGATGGCTCAATCATTGTATTCGATGAAGTATTAATGTATTAATAAAGATATGGCTTATCTACAAAATAACACCTTTGAAAAATAATATATAAAGATAATTTATATAATTACTGAAATGTGATATTGTAGTTTGCAGATTGTAATTGTTATCTGTAACTGCATTAAAAGCTTTTGGTGGATTATAGATATTAATATTATACTGCAGTCAGATAGGCCATAATTTATTACAAAGCCCAAAGTGATTACGAAAATTATTTCAATCTTTTTTTCGAAAGATTAATTTGTATATAAATATATAATATATATATATATATATATATATATATATATATATATATATATATATATATATATATTTATTTATATTTATATATACATTGAGCCTTGTAAGAAAATAGAAATGCAAAGTATTAAATTTAGAAGGACATTCTATGTTTATACCCCAGGGCATTTTTTACTTTTTGAATATTCATAAGAACCTCTGGAACGTTTTTCTCATTTCTATACATGAAAAGGACAGGTTTTTGTTTACACCACATTCCCTTTTTCCGGGTACCGAAGAACGTTTAAATTGTTTAGATTAGATACATAAGCAATCATCTTAGAGATAACTTATCTTGTCGAATATCGGCAGTCAGTGTTGAGTGATTCAAGTGTTCAGTGAAAGAAGGTATACTTATGGATAAAATAAAAACAGAGAAGATTCTATTTATAGGAGATGCTATGTGTGGCAAAACAAGTATCTTGCAAGTCTTCACTAAAGGCCATTTCCCACAAGGCTGTTATACACCGACCATCTTTGAGAACGAAGTAGCAGACATAAACTATAAAGAGGTGAACTATAAACTTTTTTTAGTCGATTCGTCCGGACAAGAGGACTGGCAGCACGTACGAAGCCTGCTGTACTGGGATGTCGAAGTCATAGTGATCGTCTGTTCGATAGACAGCCTCGACAGTTTGGAGAACGTGAGGGAGTACTGGGTTCCGGAGGTTGAGGAGTTCGCACCGCCGGGGATACCAAAACTTCTGGTAGCGAACAAGAAAGACTTGAGGGACGGAACAAAGAACCAAATCGATTACAAGCAAGGAGAAACCATGGCTAAAGAAATCGGTGCATACGCCTACATTGAGTGCTCAGCGTTGAGGTATGAAGGCATTGAAGACATTTTCTTTTCGATAGTGAAAGTACTGAAAAAGAAGACTGGTTGCTGTTGTGTTATTTTGTAGGGATTTTTTTTTTCGAATACTTAAAGTAAGTCATTTTTATATCTTAAAAAAATAGATAATATTTAAAATATTTAAATGTTTCGAAGTTTACATAAACAGTGCGTTCAAATGACGTAAAATATGAATAATAAATAGTTCATTTTATTCACTTTTAGTAAAATAAAACAGTGATGATAAAAAGTGTAAATAATTATATAAATTGATCTATTCCACAAATGCGAAGGTAAATAAATTTAAGTTCTAGAATTTGGTTGTATAATCGATTGACCAATTAATTTCGTTACGGATATGAATTAAGTTATATATAAGTTGAATATATATGTAAATACTGTACTAGAAATAAATAAAATATTGCTGCTTGCTAAGTTTCTCAATGACATATGAGAATCCTAAATGAAAACAGTTATAATTAAAAACCTGATACTGAATCGCTCCAATTTATATTGAATCGCCCATTCGGATTTCACAGGTGAGATTACTTGAATGTACAAAACAGATTCGTCATTATCTAGGCAACTCAAGGAGTTGAGCAGCACTGTACTCTATAATTAGAAATGCGTTCAATTAATTTCTCATATTATTTATATTACATATGATATGAACAATAAAAGGACAATAATCAAAATTTAATTACGAATATAGAACGAAATGAACCGAAAATTGAAAATTATATTACAAAAATAATAAATACGATTTTTTTTAAAATTTAATTTTATCATTATACAATAATATAAACTAAGTAAACTATAAGAAAGAAAATACAGAAAAACAAAATAGTACACATCAATTAAAATGTAAAACACGTAAAAAAAATTCTTCTAACAAAACAGGATAACACCAAATTCTAAAAAATTATAAAAAACACAAAAAGCTTCCAACAAGTCAATCTGCCATCTTGTAGTTTTGTGTTTTGTAGTTTATATTAACTTTTTAGTAAACATTTATTTTATCAATATAATAACCTTTTTAAACAGAAAACCCCTGTTTATCGTAGACAGCTCATATATATACACTGACAGTCAAAAAATTCCACCCACTTGATTTTTTAATGTTTTCATCTAAAAATATTTCTTCCACTTGTAAAAAAAGTTGTATTTGTATATAATACATGGTATTTGTAGATAATACTTAGTATTTATGGAATTTTATAATATTTTTTACTTTTAATAATCAAAATGTGATTGGATAAAAAAGATTAGAGAAATAAAAATAGAAAAACGAACCATTATTATTCTAAAAGAAACTAATTACATCATCGTTTAGTAGCGCGTGTTTCCTCCTCTTGCCTTCACTACTTCTTGAAGACGCCTCGGCATACTTTCCAGCATTCGGGAAATGACCCTTTGCTGGAGGATAACCCATTCCTCCCGAAGAGCCCTTTCAAGGTCCTGCAGTGTATCAGGAAGTGTTGCAAGCGCTCTTATTCGTCTTCCGAGGTTATCCCATAAATGCTCAATGGGGTTCAAATCTGGAGAACGTGCTGGCCAGGCTAAAACCTTAATATTGTTCTGTTGAAGGAACGTCTGCACTATGCGTGCGGAGTGCATTAGAATAGAACGATCGCCGATTTCGTTGAGGACAGGCAACAAATGAGGTTCCAAAATCTCATCTACATAGCGAATGGCCGTCAAAGACCCTCCACGAACAACAACCAATTCTGTGCGGCGCTCCATTGAAATCCCAGTCCACACCATTAAGGAACCACGTTGGAAAGGTTGGCTCTGGGAAAAATTAGAGTCTGCATATCTTTCGTATCTTCTTCTCCACACCCTTTCACGTTCGTCTGGTGATCGAAGAGCGAATCTTGACTCTTCTGTAAAAAGTACAGCACTCCATTCGTCCATAGTCCAATGGCTGTGTTCTCGAGCCAAAAGCCAGCCGTGTTACTCTGTGAGTTCTGGTCAACTCTGGTCCTCTTATTGGACGAAAAGCCATTAATTCATACTCATTTAATCTTCTCCGAGCTGTACGTTTAGAAATTTGCACACCTCGAACTTCTTCGAGCTGATGAATCGCTTGAACAACGGTAAGGTGCCGGTTTCGTAAAGTTCTCAAATTTTAAAACCGGTCATCCCGTGGTTCTGTTACCCTAGGCCGTCCAGAATCGAGCCTTCTATTGTAAGAACCAGTTTCCCGAAAACGCCTGACGGCGTCTCGTGAAGTTTCATATGGAACTCCGATGCCATTAGCTACATATCTAATGGAACAACCATCATCAATACGTGCCACACCACGCGCAACATCCTCAGCACTAAGAGGCATTTTTAAATTTAATATTGAAAAAAATTAAAAGCCGGAGACTAAGAAATGTGCTGCAAGAAACGGCACTGAACTAATGATACTGAATAAATATTTTGATTCCATAGAAAGTAAACATTGGAAGCTAGAATCATTTCATTGAATTAAGGATTAAGGGTTATTGTCCTCTATATTAACAATCCTAATTGAAAACAAACAAAAAGATTACCTATTTATTCATTAAAAACAATAGACCGATCCAAAGCAGAAATATTTTAAATGAAAACATGAAAAAATCAAGTGGGTGAAATTTTTTGCCTTTCAGTGTATAATCACTAAAATAATAAAATAATAATGATAAAATCATAAATATCAGATTGGTTAATCATAGTATTAAAATACAATATAAATTGGACACAGGAACTAAAAATTAGACTAAATGCAAAGGATAAAAAATAGGAATGACTTTTTCACAATTTACATTACCCAAAACATGAATGAAACTGTTAATATCAGAGCAGATACATAACAATTAGAAGTAAATATAACGTATATTTCATATAGATTCCAGTTGAAATGTTAATAATTAATTACAAGTGACAAGCAATAACAGTACATACAAATAGTTAACATAAATTGGACTAATATACCCTATAGAACTAAATATTCACAAATATATATAATTAAAACTATTTGTTCTTAATCTATATAAATAAAATAAAGGTTTTGTCTGTAGATTGAATAGAATCAACCCGTTTCATGATATCTTTCTGCTTCATACATTAATCAACTCTTTAAAACATTTTTGTCTGTCTGTATGTCCGCATTGTCCAACGAAATTTTGTCAGGGATAAGGTCAGCAATGGCTAATGGCAGAGTTTTGAAATTTTGTTATTATATTTAGGTTTGCTAGACTTAAAACATAGGCTTTAATAAATGAAAACAAAATATTGAGTAGAACCTAAGTTATGAATTCTTCAGTAATTTGATTAGAGATCCCGGTTAGGCAGTTACTTCAATTCTCATCCCAACCTACTCTATCGCGAGTCACATTTAAAAGGAGTACTATTCAACTGATGGAACAAAATTATCACAACTCAACGGGGAAAATCCCGAAATCCCGAGCATCTTTAACGTGTTGTCGCTTAAAACACGGATAAAACTCACTCATTTTTTAAGTTTGTCCGATCTTCCCGTTCAAGGTGACATTCGATTCAACTTCCCAATCCTAAAAAATGTTATATATATTTTTAGGGTTAACCAAACGGATTAGCAGGAAACCGAAAAAGAAACTCCCAAAAATTTCACCACGACCGCCACAATATTCAGATAAGTTTTAATTTTACACGAATGTAGGTGACTCAATGTCCAATGCTATTTTGTTTATTTTGCCAGTGATAAATTCAGCAATGGCTAATGGTAGGCTTTTGATATTTTTATATTATATTTAGTTTTATTTGACTTAAAACAGGCTTTGAGTAAAAACAAAATATTGAGAAGGACGAGGTATGAATTCTTGAGTAATTTGTGTAAAGATCTGGTGTAAAAAAAAGACCCCCCTAATACAAAATCCATAATATCCATAATATAAAAAATCCTCCCATGATACAAAATCCATCTAAAAAAAGATTCTCAAACTTTAACTATGCACGCGTCAACGACTGGTACATCAGCTAGTAAATAATATTTTAAAGATTTTTAAAAAAGGAAAATAATATAAATTATAAATAGACAGTGAAATGCATTGAAGTTGGATTGTAAATGCACGTTTCTCATTATGGATACATAGCAACTGCATCTGATTAAATAAATAACATCGATATGAGACAAGAGACTAATCACAACAAAATAAGTATAAATAGAATTGGCTTTATATTAATAAATTGCTACTAAACTATTAAAAGAAACCGTTATAGTATTTCTGCGTAAACAACATTTTTATTTTTCCCATTTGCTATGAATATTTACTGGTTTTTCACAACCTGGTTTAAATAAAGAAACATGTACTAGGTTGTTACAAATGTCCTTGCGCATAATGCTTTATTTCATATCATATATTTAAAACATTGTTAAATACTACTTTTCAAAGTAAAGCCCATCGTTTTCAACTACTTTCACCTTTCTTTCTGCCAGTAATTGGATTTGATCCTGGTACCACTCCTTTGAGTTTGAGCCGAAAAAAACTCTTCACATCCAATCGTTACGTTGTCATAATTACCAAAGATCCGATCTTTCGAAAAATGAGCCATTGATCTAAAAAATACATATATATTCTGATGGTGCAATATCTGAGCTTACGTAGGATGAGGCAAAACATTTACTACTAGCAGTTTCGATAATTTTTCCTCGGTCAAATGAGAACGATGTTCTGGGACATTGCCGTGGTACAAAATGGCTTGGTTACTGTTGAACAAACATTTGACACTTGATACTGCAAAAGCTCTATTCACAGGAACAAGCTCAAAATGCAAAACGCCTCCAAAGTTTCACCAAACACAAAGCATCACTTTTTCCCAAAACGACCTTAACGAACCTCTAGTTGTGTACTCACCTGGACAAAAAACCTCAAAAACTACCATAAAAGCTCAAAATCTTAATTTCCAAAGAAATTGTCGATTATTTCTTTTCGATTTCGATTATTGGATTATTTCTCAAACATATTCCTTTTTCGTTAGCACACCATATCTTCACCAATTCTTCATGTAATGTAATGATTGGATCATCATTTTGAAGAGTATCTTCTCCTTCAGGTGGGAAAAACC